ATACTTTATTGTCGCCTCCCCAATGGGGCTTTTCAGGAACAATATATAAATTACTGACTATACATTCAAATAAAATTAATTAATCACAACATCTAATATAATATAATCTAAGAATATATATAAAAACAAATGTACACGATTGGTTAAAAAAAAATAGATATTCTAATCAGAAGTACTAATCAGATTTCAAAAATTCAGAAATAAGCAAAGATTTGAGTTTTCTTTTAAACATATCAATGTTCGCAGCAAGTTTCAGTTCTGTATCCAGACCGTTCCAGAGGCTAACAGTTCTATAGTGGAAAGATCTTTGATGGGTTGCTGTCTTGCAAAGTGGGATCTGTAGTTTCTGTGAGTTCCTTTTCCAATCAACACTTTGATTTGTTACATGAGAAGAAAAGGCTTCAAAGACTTGACCGTAATGAAAAAGTTTTTGTAAAGCTTTCTTGCATGGTTTCCGTCAATGTTTAAAACAAATAGCTTCAACGTATGAAAATTGTTTAAACATTGCACAAATTGCTTGAAAGAAAGCTGTCTTTTCAGTAACAAGAGAGGCTGACATTTCACACGAGGTGCTGCCACTCGCTTCACATATAGCTGTACTTAAAGTGTTTCTGTAACATCATTAAACTTCCCTTTCGAATTATACTCAAGATATTCGTCGAGGAAGTGCGAATGCCACAGGCGACTTAATAACTTTCCTCAGGATAGCTTAGAGGCTAGGCACATTGGATATCTAAGGCAACAGCCTAGAGACCTAACAAGAGCACAGCGTTGATATTGTGTGTCCTCGTGTTCTAGCCTTAATTTTCTGCATTTGGAAATGTTATTCTTTCCTTAACTCTTCCTGTATTGGGAACTTCACCTCTACTTGGTACTAAAATAAGTCCGGTTTACTCAAATCACTATAAAAGCAGGTCATTTCTAGAAGATTGAGCTACAACTAATCATACCACTGTGAAATGATTAAAACCATGAGAGTCCATGAGCGGCTTGAGGGAGTAAAATTGTCCGGTGCCATTGTCAAACACTCTGCAGTTTTTAAGATCTACTGCTTGAGTGTCTGGACAAGCGGCCGCTGTGGCCCAGCTGATGTGAATGATACAGTCATTTTCTACTGACTCCAAAACAGGATGACCCTAAAAAAAAACAAACTAACAAATAAGCAAAAAAAAAAAGCAATGCAAACAGAATTTTTGATTAGCAAGAACTGTTAGATTAAAGGTCATTTTAAACGATAACTGCATAAAAACGAGTAATTCTCGTGAGCAGAGCCATTCCAGGTCTCCGGGTCATGTTTGGTTAGGCTCAAAAGCCTGTTGAAATTTTTCACAATGGAGAACGTAGTCGCCATCAAACCTCTCAGCTCTGTCCTGGAGGTAAAAATGGCAAGATCGTCTGTAACTATGACGTATTTTGATTGGTTGTTGGTTCAAAAATTTCAGAACAGCCTGTAAGTTGAGTCAAACGGACATAGCATGGATCCTTCACTTGTTTGTTTTCAAGGACCATTCGAACTATGAAACTCAGTGGTGAGGTGTTTCGAGTTTGTATTGTCAATAGCCAGGGGCGAAGACGCTATAGAACAACTATATATATTTATACCCAAGGATTTCAACGTACAAGTAATTCGTCAGGGCATCAACTGATCTAACTGTACGTACAATCAACAAAAAAAGTTATAATGGTATTAAAATACTCACCAATTCACCATAGGAACAAACAAACAGAAAGTGAAGTTCCATGTATTTTGAATATTTATTCGCGCACTCGGTCGTACTATTGTAAACAAGCTTTACGTGTCCTTCCTTGACTTCCTCTGGAGGACCTACTGCTTTTCCTAAGACCTAGTCAACAATAAAATGAACATTTCACCTTACTGCTTTACAACAATGCCATGTTTGCTTGGAGGATTGATCCGTTCAAACGTAATGACTTATAAGTACAAACAAATCGATTTTACGACAGTGAGACAAAAATTTACCATGAGGACATCGTATGATTGAAAATGGGCATTCGGTAAACGCCTTTCTATAACTGAAGTTCACGCAAAATACTTTTACGGCAATCTCAAAAAAAAAAAAAATAATAATAATAAAACTGATATCACAATCATTTGCTGCAGATAGTCCCAAGCGAGAAAGAAAGGCCTGTCTTTCCAGCCCGGATATTAGCCAATCAAAACACAAGATTGGCTTCCCCTAGTGAGGTAACATTTTACCTGATATTGAGTACCCTCCTGATTTTTCCAGACCTTACACGCCCAGACGCCTGCTGGGCAATTCTTTCCTGGCATGGGTAACAAAGGGCGACACAGGTTTACATAATAAGAGGCAACGTCTTTTCCTTTCGTACTGCCCTCTGAAATCACCTGTTCAACAACGGAAAAAAACATTAGTCTAAGGGAAGCTGTCGAGAAGATTTTCACCTGTTTTTAAGGAAAGTAAAACGTGTCTCACAAAATCCTAAAATATCAGCCTGAGAAAAAAAGATTAGATCATCGATTTGTAGACTGATGGATGAACTGAACCTAAAGTAATAACATGGCATTTGCCCGCTTCTTTTCTCATTACCTTAATATCCATTTCCCCAAAACATAATGTGACCTTCTAGCTGTGAACATTTCCATTTTAAGAAACTTCAGCGTTGCAGAATGCTAGCACAACGTAGCAGATAATTTGGTTTGCTCTCATCACTCGTGTCCAGGATAGTATAATAACTTTATAACGAGAAAATAAATGTGAACTCTTTAACTCCCATAACTGACCATGATTTCTCCTTACAAAGTCAAATCAATATCAAGCAGACGGGTGTTGCCAGTAAAGAAAAAATATCATTCATGGAATTATTAGTTGGTTCAACAGCAAATTCTCAACTATCAGCAAAAGAATTGAATGGCAGACAGTAGATTACTCCTGAAAGCTACAGAGCATGCGCAGATCATTGATATGATATTCTGACATCCCCGAACGGTTCAAAGTCTATCAGGTTTACTCAAATGCACTTCTACTCATCCATGCCTCACTGCCTCTTTCTCTGTGAATTTTGTTTTTGTTTATTCGACGGTTATGTGAACAAGCCTCCTTAACAGTCTTGCGCATTACCTCCCAATTAGCATCTGTCCGCATTAGTCGCGACAGACTGTATTTCACTGTACTTCCATCTTTGCCATTCTGAAGGGCTGCGCATTCATACTGTCGATGAAATTTAAGAGAAAATGTGAAGTAAGAGGATAGTGAGAATCAGATATTAGATCGGTCTGTTCTTAGGGAAATAAAAAAGAAATAAAAATTTAGTAAAAATTGATAGCACACACTGTAAGGTGCAAGGTGTAAGGGTAGAGAGGGAAAAATCATGATGACAGTGTTCGCGCCTTTCACTCCTGTGAACAAAATTCAGAGCCGGCCATCCAATGTGGCTTCAATATTCTTTTCCGTAACTGCTCTTAAGATTTTTCTTGCGTTATTTGTTTTTCTTTCCTGCACAAAAACCATCACTCCAAATTCCAAATCGACCTGCAATCAGTAGATGAAGACCCACCATTCGAATTCTCTGTAATGGTCCTTGCTCACCATAGAGTCTCTGTGGCTGAGTGGTAAAGCATAGGAGCGCGGAATCCGAACGTCTGAGGTGGATCAATCAGTGGATGAAGAGTCTCTGTGGCTCAGTGGTAAAGCATAGGAGCGCGGAATCCGAACGTCTGAGGTTCGATTCCTCATATACCACTTTCATAAATGGCTGCCGGATTAATATTCTTTTGTTTAAAGTGCACCTAAACCCAAAAATTTTTTTTCGCTTAACGAAATAAGCTTATTTTTTGGAGTATTTCTGTGCAAAAATTTTTTAATTTGCTTAAATCTTAAATTTTCTGTGCCTAGTCAAAATACGGAAAATCGGCCGCCATCTTGCCCCACGACCGAGTTTAAAGAGGAATGGCTCTAGCGGATAATGTGACGTCAAATCGAGAACACGAAAGTCTGCTTTTCACACATTTTCACTTGTTTGGGAAGGTTGTGGTCGATATTGTCCGAAATATGNCTAGTGAGGCTAATTTGAATTTAAACAAAAGAATATCAATCCGGCAGCCATTTATGAAAGTGGTCTATGGGGACTCAGAATTTTCTCTTTGTCCCACGCTCGTGACAAGGCGAAAAAACATTTTTCTGTATTCGAATGCTCTTGTACAAAATTTTACCCACTTTTCTCTTCTATCGGTTATTAAAAGGCAATGACTTTAAAGCCCTACCATAGAGAAATTTGGCACCTCGCGTGAAAACAGGTTCCCCTACGTCTTGGATCAAGAGGTGATGACGTATGGAATGGCATGCTCACAGGAACCTCTTGTTCGAATAACGATTTGTGCTAATTCAGGATAAAAACTTGAAAAAAGTTCTTATTTGTCTTCGCTGACAACGTATGATAGGCTTAAGTCTCGAGAGTTTCAATCATCATGTAAGGCAAAACTGGAGGAACAAAACGTAGAGAGAAAATGTATCTGCAAATTTAAAAATTTAATAATCGGCTTTTAAACAAGAAGAGCCAGGACTCCAAATCTTAAGGTCTGGGTTCGAGTGTTGGCCAGTTCATTGTGTCTTGATCTTGGCGAAAACCACCACCCTGGACAGGAAATCGCGAAATTCTCGCGTTAAGCCACGATTGGATAGCTTTTATTCTTCTTAAACGAGAGTTAGCTCCAGCTTTAACAGGCGCGGACTTTATGGTTTCCAAGATAGTGCTGCTAAAATCTTCATTCACGACAGACAACTATAAAATGTTGATTTTTGGAGAGATCTCCTCACTCTTATTCCAACTTTAGCAGGCGCGGAAATTTATGATTTCCAAGATAGTGCTGCTAAAATCTTCATTGTTGACATACAATTGTGGAATGTATTTTTGATGAGATCTCCTCATTCTGGAGTTACAAAAGACCAAGATATATTGCACTAACCTGCCTTTCACAGACAAGTGGAGTATGCCACACAAAAAAGTATGTACAGTCATTTTCAGATATGAACACAGGCTTCCCCATGTCTCGGCTGTCACGTGTTGGACTACACACGAACTGAATGATCGTCTCACGATTTTTTTCCACATGATGGCAAGGTTCTCCACCACTCAAGTTTAAATATAATATCCCATCATCAAAGTGGAGGCGCTTGTTGGATATTCCTGCACTGTGCATCTGTTGTTTTCCTTCCTGACAAACTCCAGAATTTTTTTCACAGCCTGAAATAAGGAAATAAGTGAAAATTATACGTAACACACCACCAAACGAAATCAAAAAGTGTCTTGACTACAGTTAACTTAAGTTCAATTTTTTTCTTTTTCCCTATAATTCTCCATTTCTGTACAAGAAAATAACAGAAAATTAATTTTTGACCCGTGTAAAATTTTTAGCAACAACACGTGAAAATTCAGCTAAATAATGTACCCACAATGTTGTCCTTTGCAACCCTTGTTTAGTGATGTCACGCCTCGCATTCGAACGGTCAAACAAACAACCAACGAGAAGGAGAAGAAGATTATAGCACATCATGGTGTCCAGAGACATTTAAGCGCCATGAAGGATCGGATTTACTCTTTGCAAAATCCCGTTTAGGTTGTGGTAAAAATTTTGTCTATGTAATATATTCAAAGCAGTTTCAATTTAAATTTCTTTGTCTCGAGTTCATTTCCAGAAACAACTACGAGAATAAGTGTTACACCTGGGGAAATTTTTGTTAAAGCTCGTTGCAAATAGCCTCTCTAAGTAAAACAAAAACAAAAAAAAAACCACAAGAATTGTTCAGGAAAAGTTGGAGACATTCCGTTTGGTACGTTGTTCTGTCTGACCAATGACTGATTTCTAGATGACAGGGCATTAGACACACGGAACATTTAAGGGAGCTGAACAGCCATGCAACAAAGCTGCAATGTGGTTCCGGCTGCATTTTTTGCACATACAGTACCTTTCGAGAGGTTGACTAAAGGTCCACACACATTCAACTTGTAACTGTAACCCCGCTTGTCTACCACATCATAGTCACCACTTTGATTCCTCAGTCGGTTCAGATCAAACCAGGCGTTAGTGTGAGGGTTTATTGCCGTACAGTTGTCAAATGTAACCTCTTTTTCATCATTCAAGGGGCACGCTTCACTTGTGGTCCACAAGAAATCATACTCGCAAGTTTGCGTGTTATAACCAATGTACATCGGCACACCTCCCTTAAAATAAAAGGAAAAAAAAAACACGACTGAGTGAATCTACCTCCGCAACATGCAAGACATTTGCCATTCTTAGAATGTGGCTGTTGGTCATCGGACAACGTTTGACAAAAATATTTTCTGTTGGGATAAACGTTTAACCAAATAATAAGAAAATGGAGACTTTGTTGGACAGAGGCGATGTACGGGCAACATTTGCTATGAAAGGACACCAATAGAATTATTTAAAAAGATAATAATAATAAAACTAGAATTTCAAAAAAATAACTAAGTCTGATATTTCTACTTTCCGAGTCAGTCCTCTACAGAAAAAAGTTATTGCACCTCCGGTTCACCAGTTTAAAGGATAAGTGAAGTTTGCCACTCATATCATGGTCAAACCACTCACGTAGTGATAGTTTAATTTCAGCGAGTTAAATTAAGAAACGCAACTTTAAGACGTACAGAAAACACAGGGACTGTAGGACTGAACACAGAATGGCAACTTCCCTATTGGTATATGTTAATACCTCTCTTTCGCCACACGTCATCAGTATGTGAGTAGTATAATTTTTATTTCTAACTCCGCAGGGTTCACCATCCTCGTAATCCAAATATATATTATTTTCTCTCTTCCTGGGTCCATGCCTTATGGTTCCAAGGTTATAGTACTTGCCCCTAAAGGGAAGCAAAAGGAAAAAATTCTTAAAATCTACGTATGCGACTTGGCTGCATGGTTTTGAGCGCTTGATGTTAATCTAGAGGACGTGGTTTCAAATAGTCCATTTTACGGTTGCGTGCTTGATTGCTAAGCCTTTGAACGGGAGGCTAAGGGTGACCTTGTTATGATAGAGACGTTGTTGCTTTTCAAATGTAAATTACTTTGTTATCATGCTAACTTGATACTGGTCTCTATCATAACAAGGTCACCTTTAGTCTCCTTCGCAGCCGTTGTTTGGGCTCGTCACGTAACGCTCCCTAACCCACCAACCGGCTGCTTAAACCCGAGCCGCATTCCTTTCCCTTTGTTTAGATTTCACGGTGACTGCACGTGATAATGCGCGTTTGCACCAATCACACGTCGCCTTTGGTTTCACGATAAAACCAATCAAATTTCAATGACGTAAGTTTCCCGCGTAAATTCATCGGCGCTTTCTGGAGAAGTTGCCAGTCATCTCAAACATTTCCCATGGATGTAACTCCGAAGAAATTGGTAGAAAGTAGTTCAAGATGCTTCTCATTTGTTCCTCGATTTCACTCACAAAGGATAATATTTACATTTATTTGATGTTGCTGAACTAATTCGTTCTTCGCTCACTGTTGATGTGCATCGCTACGCGGAGCACAGCAAATTGTTTGTTTGTAGAGACAAATGCTACCAGCTTTCGATAAAGTTTAAGAAGGCATCGGATAAACTGAAAGAAATCAAGAAAGAAATAGAAGAGGTCTTCAATACAAGAGAAAAACCCAGGGCAAAGAGACTGCTGCGAACGGACGAGGAGAATAATGTCGGTGAACAAGAGCTCTTTGACAGGACTGTGAACACGATACTATCTATATGATCATACATTTCCAAGACTACAGTTCACCATTAAAGCACCGTCTGTTATGACTACGAATATATTTCTCTACATAAATCGCAAGATTTCGAACGCAAAACATAAAGTAAAATTAAGCTTACGTCTATCACATCTGCTTTGGAAATGCCCTCGAGAAAGTGGGAAAACATGCCTATTGTTTACCACTCGACTTAATGGTAAAAGGAAAATATATAAACTTAAATAACATAAGACGAAGCTAAAATGGCACGTTAAGAGAAGTAAGGAATTGGTTCTTGACTTACCACTGTCTTATAACATGTGCTTCATCGATAGCCACAGCACATAACCTCGCACGGTATACATCATTTCCTCGCATCGATCGCCAACGATCATTCTTGAGCCACGCTTCTGGTGAGCCGAAAACTAATGAATATTTTCCATACTCAATACTAGGGTGGTCAATCTCTGCTTGGGAATTAATGTTTACCGCGCTGACTCCAATACTTTGCAGGTAATTGACCTGATCCTCCATAAGACTTACGAGCGGAGAAACAATAACAACGATATGCCCAGCAAGATTGTTGATGTGATCGCACACGAGTGGAAGAGCCTGATAAATCAAGGATTTTCCAAACCTTGAAGGCAGGTTTACAAATACATCTTTTTTTGCAAAAGAATTTTCTCAATTGCCAGCTTCTGGGGATGATTTAAACAAGAAATTTGGAATTTGGAAGCGGTCGAAACAAAAGCTTCTTTGAGAGTTGCAATTTTCTCTGCTCAATGAGCCGTTGATAGGTGACGAGTTTTGATTGGACGACTAGTCTTGGCGGGACTTACTCAGAATTATATGAGCGAAATCGTGATTGGCTAAAGCGAGGGAAAGGAATGCGGCTCGGGTTTAAGCAGCCGGTTGGTGGGGGAGGAAGCGTTGCGTGACGAGCCCCAAACAACGGCTGCGAAGGAGATGGTTGGTCGGGGAGGGAGCGTTGCGTGACGAGCCCAAACAACGGCTGCGAAGGAGACTAGGTTACCTTCAGCCTCACTCTAAATCAAAGGCTTGGAAACTAAATAAACAGCTGTAAAATGGCCAATTAGTCACTTTTTCACTCATTTAAAATAGTTCCTATAAGTGCTCTCTTTCTAACTTCAGGAACTACTGCTTATTCTGTAGGCCAAACTGAGATTATGAAATTTGAAACTGGTATCAAATTTAACCAAAATACTTAAGAATCTCTCCGCTAACCCCCCCTCCTACCAAATGCTATTCAAGACCTGAATATCAACAGAAAAAGGTGAATTGCTGAAAAATACCGCAGTTCTATAACAAGAACAAAACCTTGCCCTCTTTAGACTCAAATGGTAGAGTTTTACTCTTGTTCGGACCAAGGCACTTTCTTTAATGCCACATCAATTAGGTTTATATGGGGTAATTCTGTCACTGAGGGGCACACCAATTAAATTATACCAACACTTGTAGATGCAACCGTTTAAGAAAGAAGACACTTATCAACTTGAAAAGTTGGCACCATATCATGCACCCCTAACAAAAAATAAAGACAGCTGTAAATACATACCCCTTGTGCATACAAACACCTGAAGACGGGGGACAACCCTTGGCAGCATCTTTCAATAACACCGTGCGACAGACATTTATGAAAAACGAAACCCTATCCATATTTGGAGGTGGGACTTTAGCCTCCCAGTTCCCATCGCTCTTGGACAGCGAGGAGTAGTCATACTGATTATCAGCATCCTGATCATCATCTCGAAAACTACACTGCACACTGATCATAGGCCTACAAGCAAATGGCGTCTGCCAAAGGCAATCATATGTGTTACTCTTCTTCTCACAAGTTGGGCCTGTATCAAGACCTGAAGTATCTTGGTTACATTCGAAGGTGATGTTTATAGCTGGCTTTGTCCCGTATGTCGTTTGTATCTGACCATTGTAATAAGTGAGAGTCTTGTTCAAGACAACCGGTGTATTCCTTGCCCCTGTTGTAAGACGTTCCAATGCAAAGTCAATCAATATTTTAACATGTTCATCAAGATAGCTGCGACATAAAAATAAGTGCATTGAACATGTGCATGCTAAAATCCGGAATTATTCCTCTATTCTCTTTTTTTTTTTATAAAAACCTTTTTTACAGGAACCAAGTTCAGGCTGGGATTAACCAAAATTTTAAGAACATACTCGGCTCATTTTTTCTAATTTGGTGGGAAGTATAACTTAAGGTAAAAGAATTGTAAAAATGCGTTCTAGCAAGACAATTACCTCTTACTTGGAAATTTTTTTTTTTACATTACAATGCAGTTATTGCACGATATACACTGAACAAATCAGTTTGTAGTCGAGCTTAGTCTGGTCACGTCCGAGTTGATTAATTTGATTCTTAACTTTAAGAACGTTTTCAGGCTGAAATCGCCAAAAAAAAAGAGAATATTCGGCCTCAGCAACAAAACAAGACGTTCTTACAAAAAAAATGCATTGGACTACAAGAGAACGAACAAAAGATGTGATCAAATAACTGCAATAAACGATCCAAACTTTGATTTGTGTACTTCCTTCAGGCTTGAGAGTAAAGCAGATTTTTTGAAAGTCGCAAAGACACTTAGTGGTTTCGTTTAGGATGTTTTTGTCTTTCTCGCACCCCTTGTGCGACCGACACGATTCTAAGATAATGCCATAAATGCCTATTTCGCAAACTATCAAATATGATCTGGCTTGTCCGATTGGACTACGAAAAAAATGGGTAATAATTTTTTAACTTGATTTTAAACGTGCCCACAAAAATATGTATCGCTTACAGAAAGTTAACTGAATATCAACTTGTATAGTTATGCGAAGTGTGGCCATTAATTCCAATGCAAGTCCCGCTTCTTACGCTGCAGTTGTGGTTTTCCTTTTTCGGACAAGTAAAATAAACACAGCGCACTTGTCCGTAGGGGCAAGTGTCACCTGAAAAGAAAGTTTCTGGCCCTGCATAGCTATGATAACAAGTAGAGAATACACGTATAAATTAAACTCACCAATAATGCACGCTCCAACTTCTTCTCCAATGCATCCCTTTGGGCCTCCGACCAACTTATTACAGACATTCAAAATAATCCTTTCACCAGGGGCTCCACCTTTGACATTAACATTATAGTCTTTTGATTTGCTGTAGAGCACAGATAAGTTAAACATGTAACCATATTGTTTGTCCTCCACTTTGCAATCATGACCAACTTCTCTTGTCAATGGACAAGCACTGGGTGTTTCCCAAGAAAATAGGTACTCACACTCTGGTGATTCAGCCAAGAAGATGGGAGAACCCTGAGATAAATAAACAAAATTTAAAAGTGTTTTTAAAAGAATGGAAATTAATGGAAATAGCAAAAGAAGGGCACTAACACTTTCTTTGTATATAGCAATTTTGTTTATACTTTCCTTTAGAACATGAAAAAATGATAATTATATAATTTGGTAAAAAAAGAGTTATTGTATAATTAATTATTCCACTCGCGCTTGTTGGATATGAGATGATAGATAGCTATCTATCAACTCATATCCAACAAGCGCGAGTGGAATAATTGTTTTATTAAAAAATAAACGCTCCTAAGATATTAGACAAATCTTCTCGACTTTATTTTGTAAGAAGAAGCCGGATGTTACAATGTACAGATATTAGATTATGGTATATTGGCTCATATACTATAACGGCTAAGCCAATAAAAAGTCTTGAAATGCATTATCCAATGATCCAGTTTTCAATAATTACTTTAATTTATCGACAAATTTACAATAGCTAATGACTTACACGCAACTCTCACCCTTTTTAAGCCAATGACCTTACCATTAGCTTTGAGCACGAAAAAACAATTCTGATACTCCTGCTAAACTGATTCTTGTGACAAGAAGTTCCACCCGAATACTGTAACGTTAGCTCTCCTTTGCCTGTGATCTGTGGATTACTCTGCACATATCCCAAGTTAAATCCCTTGTCCTGACTGTGATCAATCTGACAAGCCCCTATAGCTCCACCAGGACATTTCAAAACTTCTCCAATTGGATTCACAGCACGACAAACATTGATGAAGTAGTGAAGATGTTTGTTCTGTAATCTGGTATCAACTGCTTGCCAGTTTTCTTCAAAGAGTATATCAATTGAGGAAAACAGTAAATCACTAGTTAAAACGTTTCTAAAAAGATTCCATGCATTCTCACATTCAACTCTGCACTCTAGACAGATGGCCCATCCAGCAAGATCGAACTTCTCCCTGTTTCAGTAGCATGAAGGGAACGGAGGAATTGCCCCACATCCCCCACCCCCACCCCAGAGAGGATTCCAATCCATCAAAGGTTACTTCTTCCCACAGTTTGTCAGGCTTCCTGTACCCCCCCCCCCTTCCAGTATCATTTGCACGCCTGGGTTGTGAGAAGCACTGGTAGAGTATCGAGTGCTGTGCCTTACCCCTCCCTCCCAGGAGAAATTACCACTACCCTGAGATGAAATACCACTTCATTGCAGTTTATCTCTTCCCGACACATTTTTCAGGCTTCGTTAAAAGTTCTTTAGTATCCATTTACACTTCGGTGGAGAGAAGCACAAAAAGAATATCAGCCTGCCTCATTTTTAATTTTTTTTTTCTTTTCGGAAAAGAAGTACACAATGTATATTGCAAAAAGAAGTACACAATGTATATTGCACAATGTATAAAGCAAAATCTTCAAAATCCCTCTAAAAGAAAGCCACAAAATTTTTATGTTATTGTAAATGATCATCAAGGTATCTCACCTTTAGTCAGCCCCATGGGACTAAGGTCATATTCTACACCACTACCACTGTCCGACACCAAGCACTGCACAGCTTTCGCAGAACAAACCAGTGATGTTTGAAATTCGAAGATGTACTTGTTAGATTTTTCCTCCCGTTCAGCAAAAGTAGGCTTTCCAAAAGGCTTCTTTGAATTACAGTAGAACTTGATGTGAACTTCTCTCTGTTCCCCAGTTTCAAAATTGTCTCCGCCCCTAGTTATCATACAAAACGAAGTGAAGAAGGCAACAATTCAATAGCACTAAATGTAATGCAATCAAAGGTTACGCAGTCGTGGAATACGCAATGTAATACAGCTGTCATTCATTCATAACAGCAGCTTCCAGGCAAACTTCTGCAGAAGCGGAAGGAATCTTATAGGCCATGAGAGGTTTTCTTTTTACTTTTCACAAGCCACACACCCAAAGCACTGTAGTAAATTTTGGTGTCTATCAAATGAAGTGACTAGGAATATTAGTTCTCAATCTCCATTCGGATGGAGATTCTATCCTGCATACCAAGATATCACAAGTTGTCCAAACGTCTTCCAAATGCCACACTTCGATGTGAAATTTGCCCAGAGAAAAAAGACCAAATCTAGACAGAATATTTTCCCCAATCCAATCTATAACTAGTGAATTTATCTTAAAAGCTTTCTTGGCCATTATTCTAGTTACCCAATGGTAATGGTATAACTGACCACAGCTTCTCTCCAAATCCACAAAAAATCCTACCACAGTGAATGCACTCATTAAGGCCAGCAGAATTCAACTTGTTACCTGTATATAAGAGTAACGATTTCGCCCTTGTATAAAAGCTGCATACTTTTCTTTCCAAGAGCAATTTTCTGGCCATTTTTCCTGATCAAGCAGGCACTAATGTTACCGCGATCTCCACAAGCTTTATCAGGCAATGGACCACAGATGTTAAGTTGAAAAGTTGCTTGATCGTTGTTCTCAGTAACATTTCCACCGTACATAGCAACATTGGATTTTTTTCGTAGTGGCAGTAGGTTGAAAATTGTGTCAGACTTGGGGTCGTGCACGATACAGTTGTCACCGTTAACGTTTTCTATTGGACAACCTGCTGCTGTGATCCAGTTAAATTTGTATGTGCAGCCATTATCAGCAGTTTCAATAAATTCAGGAGATGAGCTCTATGAATAAATCAAATAGACATTAAAGATCTCCTCATGTCTGCTTACAAGGACACGAAATATTTTTCTGCCAGCCCATTCATTCTTGAATCCACAAAATTAACTCAAAAGCTAGCAACTCAATGACTATAATTACTTTTTGCAATGTACGGCCATGCCACCAATCATGCTTCAACAAAGGATGGCAGCTCAGCTGTCAAAAAGCCTCCTGGTCTGCAAACCACCATCTTCGCTCCTTATTTTATTTAAACCATTATAAATATTGCACGAATATCATTTAGTCTAGGGAGTCACCTGCACAAAAATCTATACAAGCTCACCTCTTCTCCTTTTTTACAGAGAAAAGTAATAGTTGTCTGGTATTTCTTGTCTCCTTGACATTTCTCTCCATCAGTGTACGTTATTACAACATTGTTGACTCCTTCAGTGGGTGGGTTTGATACAGAACCTGGAGGTAAAAAGTAATAATCTTTTTTATAAATCCAGAAACAACTGAAGCCGGCATATGAACAAATGAAATGACGAATGAAAATTAGAATGCGTATAAAATATCAAGTTTCAGTTCCACCTATATCCATCATTATATTTAACCCTTTAGATCCTAAAATCAGTATGCATATTCTACTTACTGTCCTCCAAACATTTCCTGAGGTGCTGAGAATTTGTCTAAAAATCAAGCGCTTCTACTATTGGTGATCATTTCCTTAATTCCCCTTGACCTTTAATGTTTGATTGAGGGGTGATGTTTTGGAGAGAAATTAGATATTGGTCACTCTTGGGTTAAAGGGGTAAGAGGCCAACTGCTAAACAATGCGCGGCACCTATATTATATATATAATTAGATACGTTATTCACCAGAAGGGAGGTCCGTATTGGGAAAAACTGTACCCGAGGTTATGGATACTGCCGTCAGCCTACGGCCTTGCGCGGTACTCAAGACAGAGGGCACAGTTTTTCCCAATACAGACCGACCTAGGCTGGTGAATAACAATTTCATTTTTTTTAACACTTAAAGAAATGCTTATTAAAAGGACCCGAATGATTTAGGGCTACAATACAGAGATTTAGCACGGCGTTAACGTGAAACGCCAACTTGCCCTTTCACGTTTCACGTAAAATAGCGTGAACCTTGCTGCTTTAGCTTCGTGTGAGCTCACGTCATGGTGGATTTTAGGGCGCCCTTGTATGACTTACAAGAAATATTTTTAGTACCCTTTTTCCAGCAATTAACTTCTACTCTGTAGGAGAAAAAGTGCAGAAACTTTTACGTACACGGCAAACGCGAAACAGGTTACTTTTACGTCGAAACGGCAAAGCGTAACCAGCAGACGTGAAAAAATTGCGGGAAAAACAAGGTCACGTGGTCACTCTTGCCGTTCACGTTTCACATAGAAGCAGTTCTAAATCTCTCTAATTACGAGTTTAATAACGCGAAGATCCTCCATAAACTCTACAGTTTTTCAGCGAGTAGATGATAAAGAAAACAGAGGTTATTCAAATTAAACAGCGACGCTTCGTGGACACATTTTTATCTACGTAATGGTAGAGGCAACGCAGAAGGCTTCCAAGTTAATTTTGAAAAAATTTTTTAATAAGTATATGTCATGATCTGACACCTGTCAATTGGAGAGGAAAAAAAGCGCATGTACACGTTTGAATGAACAACACTACTAGTATGGTAAACACGCACGAGATAAATGACTCTAGCGGCGATCTTCCTTATAAAGGGGGTAAGTTTCCAAAGAAACTGTGGTGCTGCGTCGGTGGGGGTAACAAGGTAATTTGAAAATATCAACTAAGTTCAAAATTGTAAATTGGCCACAGTAGAGTTAAAAAGCTGACGTTTCGAGCATTAGCCCTTCGTCTTTCGCTTTGACGAAGGGCTAACGCTCGAAACGTCAGCTTTTTAACTCTTTACGGTGGCCAATTTACAATTTTAACCTAGTTGATATTACCAAATTACCTTGATCTTACCTATAATACTTGCAGAGATCTTATGGAAAGTATTGTTCCTTTCCAACGACGATTATTCTTCGAAAGACTTACCTCTGTGCAGTTTTAAATGTCACACGTCAGTTTTTACTATGATTTTCTATGGGATTGCACGGGCGGAGCCGGACAGGTCACAAGATAATATGCACTTAGTGACTGAGTGGGAGGGCCGAGCGGGAATATATTTGGTTCGAGGTTATGACGTACGATCCGAGCGCAGCGAGGTCCGTGCCTCATCACCGAGAGCCAAATATTTTCCCATCCCTACCAAACTAAGTCAATAAGCATTTGATCATGTGACCACCGAGTGTTGATTTTATAAAAAAAATTCAGTCTGAATTGGAAACGATAGACGGGCACACGCAGCCACACGAGCAGAAAAAAAATCCGCAATTTAAACTTTTCTTTAATTGTTTTAAAGTCAGAACAAGAAACTCCCAATTCCTTGAAAAACGCGACTTTTTATCAATTTTTTTTTTTTTAATCAACAAAGCAATGTGAAGGTAGCAGGGCCGGACGGCTTTTTCCGGACCGGCTCACGTCAGCCCTTCCGGCCCCATACACGTCAGCTTTCACTATGGTTTTCAATGGGATTGCGCGAGCGGGGCCGGACGGGTCATATGATAAATAAGATTACTACCAAGTTTTCATCTAATAACCATCTGTATTCTCATAGTTAAACCACTAAACTGAGGTGAGTTCTGGTATTTAAGTAACAGCAGGTCAAAATGACTTCAACTTGGTTTGATTTGCTTCTTTCTTTTTTAACAGACTCTTATATTATTGAAAAACTCTGAACCACTTACCCAAGTTGATGGCTTTGCCATTGCTTTTTTTCAAGCAGACAGCCGCTGTCACACTGCAGCCTGGTACAAGATTAAGCGAACGGCAAACATTTATGTAAAACTTTCCTTTATCTTTATCGTTATCTTTATTTTTATATGTTGCTTCCCAGTTGTCTGAAGTTTTCACCAAACTTGTCAAATCATACTGAGCAACATCTGTCCTGGCAACGCATTCTACAATCTGCAAAGTGATGCCAGAAAATTATTAGGGACTTTCAAATTACATCTACACTGACAGGGAAGAACAATAATCAACATTTTGAATCAAATCCATCAGAGTTACCAAAATATTGTTTTGTTAAGGGTGTGACACATTTGATTTCAATTCAAAAAGATACAACCTGTATAAACATCATTTCCCATTAAAAGAAAAATCATTCATTATAAGAACTATAAGCAACCAACTGACCTTTGGTGGACAGGCATATTTTGTAAACCACCTGAAGTTATAAGTACAGTGATTCTCCTTCTCAAACTCTGGAATTCCTATTCCATCGTCTTTCGCTGACTGATTACAGAGGAAGGTAATATGAGTTGTACGAGGAAGCCCATTGTGGCACTTATCCCCATCTTGGTAAGTCAGATTTAACATTCCATCATAGTAGTACAAATTTTTGTTTTCCAGACCCAGTGTAAATTTCTTGGAATCCTTTCTTCTAATCTGACATGCAGAAACATTTGTACCACCACAGTCCATCCGACTACTTCCTCCACACACCTGAAATTAAAACAAAATGGACACAACATACACGTAAAGGTTAATTCCAGATACAACCACTGCATTCCCAATCACTGTGTTGTGTTCTTGGGAAAGACAGTCTTACACTTGCAACTCTAACAGTGCCTCACTCCGCAGAGGAGTAAAACTAGGTACTGGCAAATGAACTGGACCCCCCCCCCTTCCAGGGGGTAGTAGTAAGGCTCCCAATTGCTTTATAAAGCTCCATCGATATTAGTTTCAATTAATTTTGTGGTGTTTTTTCGCCCACCTACCGTTGTTTCAGACCCAGTGAGGACCATTCCTACCCAGTCAATAGAATCATCTCATATCCATACTCATAAAGCATGTTTATTAACCAAATGTGCTTCAGAGTACAAATAACGCGCGAGACGAGTACAAATATCACGCGATATTTGTACTCCAGAAATATCCGCGAAATTCGCCCGCACTAAAATAGCAATTTGGCGCATTGGATAATAAATCTCTTATCAGACGTTTTGTTGTGTAGTATCGCTGCGTATTTTTACGAGTTGTGCCGTATTTTGAC